TGTACACCTCACTCCTTGCTAGTCTTATGGCTTTAAATTATATCCTCTAGTGACTCGCAGATTTACATCTCTAGTCTGAGTTTTTCAACCTCAGCACCGTTGGTATTTGAGGACAGATAATTCTTTGCTGGGGGGGAACTGTCCTGTACATTATAGGATGTTCAGCAACATCCCTGGCCTCTACACACCAGAGGCCAGCGGCACTCCCACAGTTATGGCCACCAAAAATGTTTTCAGACATTGCCAGATGTACCCTGACCATAAAATCACACACCTCTCCATTGAGAACCACTATTTTTTAAAATATTTTTATTTATTTATTTGGTTGCACTGGGTCTTAGTTACAGCAAGAGGGATCCTTAGCTGCCACATGTGGGATCTAGGTCCCTGACCAGGGATTGAACCTGGGCCCCCTGCATTGGGAGCCCAGAGTCCTAGCCACTGAACCACCAGGGAAGTCCTGAGAATCACTAATTTTAATCTGAGCTTCTCTCCCAAAATCCAGATGTATATATGCAACTGTCTACTTGATACTTACATGTCTAATAAACATCCCTATTTAACAGTAATCAAACCAGGTTTCCAATATTTCTTCTTAAATACAATCTTCTAGTTGTTTTTACTCACGACCTCTGATTCCTCTCCTTATACATTCTCTTAAACCTGTATCTTCTTTTAAATCTTACCTCTTCTCTTAAGCCGCTCCTTTTAGCCTTTCATGTCTGTCATTCCCCAAAATCACTTTTCCATTCTCAGACTTATCCATTCTCCTAGTTGCTTAGGCCAAAAACCTTGTCTTCCTGGCTCCCCTGTTTCTCTCACCTACATGCTGATTTATCAGTAAATCTTGTGATCCTTCCCTTCAAAGCATGTCCAGAATCTGATACCCTCTCATCACAACTGCCTGATTGGTACCACCCTCACTTCCATCAGGATGCCTTACCTTTAACCCCCTGTGTAGTCTGTTCTTAGTATAGCAGTAGAGCGAATCTGTGAAAGTACATAATGTCACATCTCTGCACCAAACCCTCCAGATGTTTCCCATCTTACTCAAAGTACAAATCACAACCCTTACAGTCCTAATTACCAGGCCTCACATGAGCTCATCTTCACGCTCCCCTCCATCCCCTTCCCTTAATCTCTCTAATCTCATCTCTTACTACCCAATACCTTATTCACCTCACTCCAGCTCCACCAGCCTCCTTTCTGTTCCCTGAACACACCAGGCCTTGGAAGCCCCCAGGTGTGTCTTCCATTGCCTTATTCAAGTCTTGGCTCCAATGTCAATTTCTCAGTGAGGTCTTCCTTGACCACTGGATTTAAAATCTCATACCACCATCATTACCTCCAACTCTCCTTCAAACCTGCTTTGTTTTTCTCCATAGCATTCTCTTCATCTAACATATTACAGAGAGGCAGTGTAGCATCATGGTTAAATTATCTGGGTTTGCATCCCAATTTGGTCCCATTCAAGATATAAGACTTGATTCCTGTGCCTTAATTTCATTGTGAAGTAGGATGGTTTCTATCTCATTAGAATTGTACTTCACATGTAGTAAGTGATGTTTTTTACCATTATTATTATTACATTTTACTTATCAATTTTGCTTATCTTCCTTCCTTCCCCAGTGGAATATGTATGCCATGAGAGCAGAATTTTTTCACTTTACTTATTGCTATATTCACAGCTTTTAAAACGGTGCCTAGCACATAGGCACTTAATAAATATTTGTTGATCAAATTGTTATCTCTGGAAAGACTAATGGGGAAAATAAGAGTCAAAGAAGACGAGCTTTATGTATACTATTTAACACTTTTACAAAAAGACTATATTCATATATTACTTGTACCCAAAAAAACTCATAGGCTTACATGCAAAATAGATACTAAAACAAATAAATTCCTAGAGGCGTTGTACTGTGAGAGCAAGTTGGGTTTTAAAAGATGCATTGATCCACTAGATAAAATGCAGTAGGGATGGGACAGCTTTCTAGACAGACGGAATAGTATATGCAAAAACAAAGAAGTGTGAAACACAGTAGGAGCTCTGACAACTGTAATCAATATTTTGAGATATTAAAAGTTCCATCTTGTCCTTTTCTCTCCCCCATTCCGATAGTCCAGCTAAGTATTTGGCTATAATTAGAAGCTTATTACTCCATTAAGGCAACTATCTTGGCTTTTTTCTCATTATTTTTCAGAATGTCCTTTTCTATTTTCTTGCTCCCCAGAAATTCCATTCATTTTTTTCCATTATACCACTCTTCAGATCTGATTCTAAATTCCTTTAATGTTTTTGTTGTAAGAAACTCACATGTAATTTCCATCTGTGGAGTATAGTTTTTTTTAAAAAAGGAATAGATAGATATTGTTATATAGTGTTTTTTAGGAACAGTTTTTCTTTTCAATTATTTTAGTAATTAAGATTTAAAATTCTGTGTTGGTCTCTAGTCCCTTATCAAAGACTTAAAAGTAAAGAAACTTGGTTTTCAATGTGTGATGCAAGATTTTTGAGGCTGACTTTTAAAAATCACGGCTTTTTTCTGCCCACCTCCCTTCTCTCCATAGAGCCCAAAATGACAGCACTAACCAAGACAAGCTAATCCACTAGGTTAGCTCCTGGTACCATCTGTGTTTGTACCATCTCTCATGTTGCTTTGTGATTGTGTATCCCTCTGACTAAGAGCCCCTTAAAGTTTAGAAGTCATAACTTCTAAAGTCATAAGTTTAGAAGTGCTCATATATACACCTCATTCAGTGCCTACAATATAATGGATCAGTAAATACTGTTACATTTAATTGAACTGAGCTGAATTGACTGGATTACAGTACAGAGGAAGGGGATTTTTGAGTTTGCTTTTTAAGTAAGATGGATTTAAAACAAATCCAGGAAGAAAAACCATTCTGTTTTGTTGTTTTTAAACATAGTCTAAATCTGGGGTACAGATACCAATATGTTCATCACCCATAATTTTTAAAGCATTCTGAAGTGACTCATCAAAGTCCCCAAATAGATACTTTTTAAAAAGGCACAATAGCCCTGGGGAACAAAATTAGGCCTAGCAGATATAAAGAGTGTTTTCTTTTTTGCAGGCAAGAATGTGGGGTCTTGTTGGTCCACAGAGCATCTTTAAGTACAATTTCAGGAAGGTTACTCCTTTCCTTTCCACATGTAGCATAGTCTCAAGTGAAACAAAGATCACCTCATAGGTTTCGATAGGGTTTCCCAGCATATTTGTTTCATTCTTACCAAAAGTCACTAATTAAAGACTTCTTGTGTTATCTTTAAAAAAAAAAAAAAGTGCTACCTCATTTCCTGACACTTATTTTCTGACCTCAGAGTGTCTCCTGGCCAACTGGCCAAAGAGCCAGGCTAGACAGAGGTGCCATTATTAACAGAGGTGTTCAGTGGGTGAATAGATGAATTTAGCTTCTACTCCTTTCTCTCTATTTCACCATTTTCTTCTTTTGCAAAGGAGTTTGGAATTTAAATTCTCTAAGCCTAGAATCTTCTAGGTCTAAAACTGCACAACTGTGGTAATAAGTTACCTGGTCATTTCACCAACCCTCTGCCTGCTACTAGACCTGTATCCTGAGAATGAGTCCAGCATACTTCTAAGTACTGCCTCCCAAACTCCTGTATTACAGAGAAGGCTTTCTTGCCAATGGGTGGCTGTTTTAATTACTTCATTTATTCAGTATACCTTTATTGGGCCCCTACTAAGTGTCAGCCTCTGTGCTAAACCCTGAAGATCTAAGATGAATAAATCTTAGTCCCACCCTAAGTAACTCACAGTCTATTCTGGCATCAATAATGTATGGAGTACCTAATTAATAATAATATGATACTAAAACAGCTGTAGGAGAGAGTGATAGAGGTGACTAGTTCAGCATGGAGGAGAGTTTGGGAAGGCTTCACAAAAAAGGTGGCCTTTAATCCTCAGCCTTAATGATACAAGGGATTTCATCAGGCAAAGAAGGGGTAGTCAGTCATTTAAGACTTAGGACAGGGAGAGGGGATCAGGATGGGGAACACATGTAAATCCATGGCTTATTCATGTCAATGTATGGCAAAAACCACTACAATATTGTAAAATAATTAGCCTCCAACTGATAAAAATAAACGAAAAAAAAAAAAAGACTTAGGGCATAGTAAGAGCAAAAGCATAAAGGTGTGAAAGCTTAGGACACATTTAGGGAACAATGAATGGTTGGGCATGAAAGGCACATAGGCTGCATGTTTGGCGGGAGATGGAACCAGACAAGTGACAGTATTGTGTGGATTTAAGAGCTGGATTTGAATCCCACCTAAGCCACTTACTAGCTGTTGTGCCTTCTCAAGTCACTTAATCTCTCATTTTTTAAATGAGAATAATAGCATAAATACATATACTCTATTTATATGTATACACACACATAGCTTAAACCAATTCTCAGAATAAAATAAATACAACTATTAGTTATTATTAGGCCACATTATAAAGAGCCTTGAATTTTAATCTGTATATGATTCTATAAGCAAAAGAAAGTTTTTAAAGTAGAAGAGGAGAAAGTATACAATAGGATATAACTTGTATTTAGAAAATTGGTGCCACTTTGGATAGCAGATTGGATAAAGAATAGATTAGAGGCACATTAAAAGTTCTGAGGCAGTTTTAAGAGTATAAGTAAGAGGTACTGATATAATATGGTTCTGAGATTGTATAGCCTTGTCCTTAAAAATTCTGGATTCCAGACTAGAAATTTCAAACTTGAAAAATCCTGCAAGTTTAAAACTGAAAACACAGTGAGAACTCTGGGGAAGCGCAAAGGCGCTCTCCTAGTCCAGATGTTTTCTTGCTCACCTGATGCCTCTGTTCTGCACCCAAATATCAGACCAGTGCTGCTTGTGTTCTACTCGTGATATCCTTTCATCTACGGAGATATTATGAGCAAGATACTCTGTTTTGGAGATGCCTTTTTTTTTTCCCTTCTTTGAGTAACTCAAGTCTACTGGTCAGTTTCCTAGATGAAGTTCTGGCTTCTGGACTGCACAGCCGAAGCAAGGAAACCTCTCAGGTTACATCAAGGTCAGCAAGCAGAAGATGAAATGGTGATGGAGAGGTGAGCCGAATGGTGCAGCTTCCCCTCTTGCGTCGCTGCAGGCTTTCTCCACTGACCAGAGGGGTGTTGGAGAAGAGCCTTGGGTTTTGTGCTTGTTGTTATAACCCACATCCAGGTAGCCTGCTGATTCCTGAACTGTTGGCACAGACACCAAGGCTCCCAGTGATGAGTTGAGAATAAGTCTGAGCCAATTCCAATCCACTTTTCTCTTGGTTTCTTTATCAAATAAATAAATGTGTTCCTTAGTTAGGAGATTGGGATCGACTTATATACACTACTATGTATAAAATAGATAACTAATGAGGACCTAACTGTATACAGATACAGCACGAGGAGCTCGCCTCCATTCTCTCTGGTGACCTAAATGGGAAAGAAACTAAAAACGAAGGATGTGTGTATACATTCAGCTGATTGGCTGCTGTACCGCAGAAACTAACACAACATTGTAAAGCAACTGTACTTCAATGAAAATGAATTTTTTTAAATAGCTCATGAACTCATACTTAATTTAGGCAAACTGAGTAGTAAGAACACAAATATGTATGTACAGATGTTTATAGTATTAATTAACAAAATTAAATCATTTGTATCAGTTCAAAAAAATGTATTCCTTGTATTTGATAGCACAGTCACTTCAGTTTCTCACTAATTTTGTTGGGCTCTTACTTGAGTAAAGGATTAGCGCTTAAAGGAGTTTTAAAAAGTAAAAATTAGATGCATATACTACAGACTCTCTCTTCTCTTGAAAAGGGTCAACCCTTTTATTTTTCATTAACATCACATTTCTGCACAAATCATTTCTGAAAATTCATATTTATACAAGAAATTGTTTGTCCCTAAATTGCAGTTTTCTGTGGTACTGAGAGACCATGTATGAAGACAATAAAAATCCATTTTATGAAAAGATACAGTGATTTGTTTTTGTTTCTTTGGGGTTAATAACAATTTATGGGAATTTAAGAGACGAGGCATGAGCTGGCTGTACACCAAACAGAGAGAAGGCATCGCCTATACCCAAAGGCTAGGTAAAGTATGTCAAGGCAAATAATATATTCTGGTGTCAATTTCACTTCTCTTGAAAGCAGTGGAAAGTAATAATGTCATTAATACCAGGAAATTATGGTGTGCTCAAATCCTACCACATTCCTGGTGCTTGGCATAAAATTTTTAAACCTTCCTTTTATGTTGATAAACTTTCTGTAACATCAGATAACCTAGGCTCAGATCTGTGTCACAGTTATGTGACTTTGGGAATGTTATTAAGTCTCTTAGTGGCTCAGTTTCCTCATCTATTATTACAAAAAGAGAGTAAGTAAATTCCTCCTTATAGGATCGTAAGGACTAAATAAGATGAGAGAACACATATAAAGCACTTAGAACAATGTCTGATACATAGTAAACCACCCAATGAACTAATAATAGCATAAGTAATATGGATTCTGTCTCCAAGTTGGGGATACAGAATCGCTACACAAAATGAATTTCTGTCCTCCTCCCACTACATGAATCCGCGGCTTGAGAAGTAGGAGGGAAGAGTTTAAGGGCCACTGGACCCATCTCCCCTTGCCTCTCCTCTCAGCTCGGCCACTGTCTCACCAGACCCTCGGGAGAAGCCCCTAAGGCTTTTGTCCATATTACAGCTAAGGGCTAAGATCTAACAAGTTCTGGTCTCTTTTGTTTTTTAAATAATTTTTTAAAAAAGGTAAGGGAGCCTTACTTTTAAGGCTAGGGGAGACAAGTTTTAAATGCAGCATTTTACATGTTACATAGTCTTTTCAAATAGAAGCCTCCTTTTTCCAAACAGGATTACCTGTGCTTGCCTTTCTCCTAGCAAGATAACTCAGGAATAAGAACACTTTTCTAATATCGTTCTCTTCATTATTCACCTGCTTCCATAGTGCCTAATCAGCTAGCAATATTAAGAAGTCTAGGGACACATGTGCACCTGTGGCTGATTCATGTCGATGTATGGCAAAAACCACCACAATATTGTAAAGTAATTACCCTCCAATTAAAATAATTAATAAAAATAAAAAAGTCTAGGGACTTCCCTGGCAGTCCAGTCAGTGGTTAAGCCTCTGTGCTTCCACTCCAGGGGGCCCTGGTCAGAGAACTAAGATCCCACACACATGCCTCAAGGTACAGCCAAAAAAAGGGAAAAATTTTAAAGTCTTAAGAAATGAGCCTTACCTTCAAGGTGTTTTATACCAGAAGATGGCATTTCTTTATTAAGGATCAGAGATTCATATTTTTATCTAAGATTTACAGAGCTGATAATATTATTACTGGCCCTTTCTTTTTTTCCCTTTAAAAACATCATTTTAAAAAAAAATCTTTTGGCCACATCACATGGCATGTGGGATCTTGGTTCTGAGACCAGGAATCAAACCTGTGCTTCCTGCATTGGAAGCTTGGAGACTTAACCACTGGACTGCTAGGGAAATCTCTCAAAATATTTTAATTAAGGTCTCATATGCTTTCAATGACCTCCCTTCTAGGAGATTGAAATGCCCTAGTCAAAACCTCTATGTCCCATTCACTCTACAAAAGCCAAGGTGCTTGTATTTAGCTAAACAACTGTTTGGCTAACAGTTTCTGGCCTGTGAATGTGCAGGCAGCAATTCACAATCCTTACCTCTGATGGCTCCCTTCTTCCTCTTTTAAGTGAAGCTACTTATAAAGCGGGCTTCCGTGGTGGCTCAGACTGTAAAGTGTCCGCCTGCAATGCGGGAGACCAGGGTTCAATCCCTGGATCGGGAAGATCCCTGGAGAAGGAAATAGCAACCCACTCCAGTAACCTTGCCTGGAGAATCCCATGGACGGAGGAGCCTGGTAGGCTACAGACCACAGGGTCACAAAGAGTCAGACATGACTGAGCGACTTCACTTTCACTTTCACTTATAAAGTAGCCAATTTAAGAACAAAGCCACTGAGCAGTTGGGTCTTATCCATGGCAATGCAGTCAGGAAGGTAACCCACCATAAGTACCCCCAGTATCTTATCTCCACCAAAGAAGGAAATTGGGGTATTTGAGTTATTTTTGTGGTTTGTGTGTGTGGTAGTGTCAAGCTCACTGAGGAGACTGCGCTATGAAAGTGAGAAAAAGAACCCATAAGTTCCTACTCTGAGATTTCTTACTTAAAGATTGGTCTTTGGAAACAGTCCCAATTCATAGATCCCAATTCAGGTGCCACGACGCGGTTCGCCTGGTGGAGAGAAGTAAAGCCTAAAGAACAGGCCAGGGGAGGAGCAGGGCTTATGGAAAGAGGGGTGAGTAACAGGACAAAAGGAGAGAAGCGAGGGAGGGTAGGGCAGGATGATAACAGGAGGGAGTGTAGCCATACAGGTTAATGAAGAAAGAAAAGCCAGAAATTTATGTAACAGCTTCAGGAGCAAATAGACAGGGAAGGTTCTCCAGCCCACAAGCATCTGTTCTGGAATCTGAAAATTACTTTGGAGAGTTTGGATATTTTAGCAGTCCCCCTGCCTGATGTTCCACAAAGCTCCAGCTCCCTGCCGAGACAGCACCGGGGACTCTAGTAACTTGCATGCAGGATGTACTCAAGTATTTGCTGACTAAAGGAAGATGAGGCAAGTCATGAATTAATTTTTTTTTTTCCCATAAACAAGAACCTATTTAAAAGTTCAAACCACTCCTATCTCTCTGGGCCAGCAAGCTTTCAAAACATCAAGCAGGGTAGTTTTCTCACCACTATATTGGGACATTTTGCTTCCTCGCTTATGAAGATACCTTGGGTTTTCTCATTCTTTTTTAAATCACTTTTAAATAGTAGTTGTTGTTCAGTCAGTAAGTTCTGTCTGACTCTTTACAACCTCATGGACTGCAGCACTCCAGGCTCCTCTAGCCTTCACCGTCTCCTGGGGTTTGCCCAAATTCATGTCCATTGAGTTGGTGATGCTATCTAACCATCTTATACTCTATCACCCCCCTTTTCCTCTTGCCCTCAATTTTTCCCAGCATCAGGGTCTTTTCCAATGAGTTGGCTCTTCACATCAGATGGCCAAAATATTGGAGCTTCAGCATCAGTCCTTCCAATGAATACTCATGGTTGACTCCCCGTAGGATTGGACTGGTTTGATCTCCTTGCCGTCCAAGGGACTCTCAAGAATCTTCTCCAGCACCACAGTTTGAAAGCATCAATTCTTCAGCACTCAGCCTTCTTTATGGTCCAATTCTCACATCTGTACATGACTACTGGAAAAACCATAGTTTTGACCATACAGACCTTTGTTGGCAAAGTGATGTCTCTGCTTTTTAATATGCTGCCTAGGTTTTGTCATAGCTTTCCTTCCAAGAAGCAAGCGTCTTTTAATTTCATGGCTGCAGTCAACTTTCCACAATGATTTTAGAGCCCCCCAAAATAACATCTGTCATTGCTTCCACTTTTCCCCCTTCTATTTGCCAGGGAGGGTGGAAAACAGAGATGGTGAGAAGGGGACTGTGTATGTGTACAAAGCCTAATTAAGCTTTGTTGAGTCAGAAAACCTGGATTCTAACCTAGTTAGCCAGTAACTTGCTGCGTTAACTTGGGCAAGTCAGTTGATTTGCCATGCCCTGTTTCCTCATTTTCCAAGTGGGAATAATATTTATTCCTCATTTCCAAGTGGAAATAATATTTATACCTCACAAGGTGGCACTAAAGATTTAAAGAACTATATATGAGAGCATTTTGAAAGGATACATTTCTATTTCAGTCTAAAATAGAGGAATAAATTAGTATGGTGAATGAGAAGAGGTTAAGAGGAATATTGTTGGATTAGGGAGAAAGAAGCTGGAAAAAAAAAAAAGAGAAGACCCCTCCTTCATTTGACAGATAGCAGAAAAAGCCAAGGCCACTTCACTCCTCAATTTGGCCGACTTTTTTTTTTTTTATCTTGAGACATCTCTGAAAAAGTGATTCTTCCTTTCCTCTGCTCCTCTGTGCCAGGGATTTTTATTCATTTGGAAGTTTCTGTGTGCCTGCCATATGCCAGGCAGTGTGTTCGTTAGCTCATTATTATTTAGTAATTAGCCCTAGAGGGCAATACTGTATTTTGAAAGGACTTTCATGGGTCATCTCATGTATTCCCCTATCTTTCCTGTTGGTGGAACTGGCATGCAGTTCCTACAGAGGAACTGAGGCCCAAAGAAATTCAGTGACTTGACCAAAGGCCACAGATCAGTGATGAAACCAGTACCCAAACTAGGTTTCCTCTCTCCTCTTCCCATTAAATGTGTACTGAGGGGAAAAAGGAAGTCACCAAGATGTTGGTGTGTGGGCTCCAACGCAGATTCGGCTTAGGAGTGATCAGCAGTTTCCTCCAGCCAGGGCCTCCTCTGGGCATTGTGGTAGACAGAGTGGTATTTTTACATGTCAGTGCATTAGGGAGAGACACCAGATAGCAGGATGTTTAAGCCTTACCTGGTGCTTATATTTAAAGCCACTTGGTCTAACAAATCAGGGCTTTGGAGACAAGAATTCTATTCCTTCCAGCACTTACAATGTGTCTGCAAATTCTGTATCTCACTTTTCTCTGTGCAACGGAGATCATAATATCTACCTCATACATAAGGTTATTCTCCCGAGGCTCAAATGAGGCCTAATGATTTGTAAACTGGAAGAAATGTGTATTAAGTTCTCTTCTGCGGAGAGCCCCTACACATCGGTACCCTCCGAAGCATAAAACTTTTCCCCAACAGTTGACCTGCCCAGACCACTACTCCACCACCTAGGGCATGTGAATTCCGGATGCCAGTCCTGGGTAACACGCCCTCCCAGCTCACGTTCTTGTTTTTGTTTGGGGTTTGGGAGGGAGAAGATCTCGATCTAGGTTATCGCCGGTCTTTATGAACCTGCCTGTCTCTCCATCAGCCGCTCCATCGGCCCCTGCCGGCTCTGTCGGCA